AAGGATTTGTCAATTAGTCTAATAATCATAATCAATAAAATAGTGGGCGTTATTTTACGCAGGCTAATTCTGATTGGTTTACTTCCAGACTGGACATTGATCACTTGTGTAGGCCAATTTTGATTGGTTAATTTCGAGACTGAACATCGGTCACCATATCACTTATATAAAAGATAATCAATTGGCTATCTCTCTACATACCAATGAGGTACATAATTATACCATTCCTGAAGATTATGAATTACTTCGTAAACAGAAAAGAAACGTACCAAAGGAAATCTCAGTGATCATCAATGTATATAAGGATTTAAAACCTGCATTAGCTGAAGAAATACTGCGAACTATGAAGCATTGAATGCCTGTTCTACCATACCATGGAGCCATTCAACGCTGCTAATTCCTGACGCTGTGAAGGATGTTTAGTATTGCTGTCAGGTTCTATGGAATGAACACTAAAATTCAACTAATTTTTTATAAATTTCAGCAAGAAGATTATTTTTCTATAGTTTGGTTTGTAAGGGTTAGTTTTGCTTATACGAGTTGATCACGATGATTGATATCACTTAGAGAACCATTGAAAACAACCAGCTGGGAAGACTGGACAGCTGTTTCATCAGCCTAGTTTTGGGAATCATCGGAAGTACGCACCCACTTCCATGGTTCGAACCCAGGACCTTCCATTGATCAACTCTTAGAAACAAAACTAACCCTTACAAACCAAACTATAGAAAATTAATCTGATATTCGCTAGTGACTGACTTGCTACAGGATGGAGTTTCCTGGAGTTCTATTGAGACGTCGGACAAGTGAGGTCCATTCAGATGTCACGTATGAGGATGAATGTCTCACCTACGACAACGGTTGAGGTCACGCTAAATCACGAATTGGTAGAAGTTAGAATTCATGGGCTGGCTGGCCATAGAGGAGTCGGGTCCCAGTGGTGGCTGAATGGTATACGAGCTTGCCTTATAACCAGAAAGTCCTGGGTTCAAACCACGGTAGTGGGTGCATACTGCCGATGATTCTCACACTTTGCTGATGAAACAGCTGTCCAGTACTCCCTGATTTTCAAGAAGATTACTTAAAAAAATTTGTGGCCTGCACAAAATCATATTCTGGGAACTAAATTCAAAGATTATGAGTGCAGTTCAATGTCCGGTTATTGTAGGTCACAAGTGCAGAGGGATCCAGGATGTGCTTTCCATCCTGATTGGGACTAATCAGCTGAATGTACCTGAATTCCTCAGTGAATGTTGGCTACCATTCACCAGATTACTTCAAGTCAATGCTCAGACATCGTCGAAGCGGCTGTACTGGAAGCCGACATGTCAGCTGAAGCCGAACAATGCGATCAAATCAATCAACAGGGGGAATCAAAATTGAATTTAAAAAAATAAATAAGGTTTACAAGAATCCTTGTGTCTCTGAATTGTGTTAAATTTTTTTATTTCTGAACTGAAAACAAGATAATGGCACCGATCATGGCTGATTAATTTGACGGTATAACATTATTTTGACCAGATTTCATTCATCAATCAATTTCGCATTTTTTTAAAAATTTCTCCTTCTTTTTTTCAATGTTTTCATGTAAAATTATTCTCTCTCTCTCTCACTCAAGGGAAGAGGGACAGATTTTTCAAAGGATGTTTTAGAAATGGAGAAAATTATTAGATTCAAATGTAAATGTATGTCAGATTTTTAGTGGCATGGATAATTTCAAGGGAAAACTTCTTCGTGGATTGGTGTCACTTGCAGAAGCATGAAAAAAATGAAATGGCATGAAATAATCACTTCATTCTTCCTTCAAATCCTTCAATAGTTCTTATCGATAACTTTATGACAAACCGTCAAGTTTCCAGACGACCAGGTTGATAATCATTCACGGAATCACGATTTAATATCCAATGACCCGCTGACTGAGTGAACATATACCTTCCTAAGAGCCCTACTCAATTCCTTAAATGGTTATGGATGTGCAGTAGCTACTGAACATAATGTTTTGGCGAATGTCCGCCCTGAGATTCGAACCCGCGTCACTGACGCTACCAATCAGCTACTTGGGCTCACGATTGATCTCCTGTAGGATTATATTAGAGACTTTGAGTGAACACTAGTTAGTAAGTGAATAGTAAGGTGCGTCTAGTCCTCTGCCTGGTACAGACTGAATTCTATCAGTCCTTTTTCTACCAACGAACCCGAAACCTAGGTGTATGGATTCTTGTTGATTGTTTCTAATCAACTAACAATAACAATTGAGAGTGCACCATTTTGGTGAGCCGCCTAGCACGGTTGGTGGTCACATTGCGAATTTAAATGATAGAATTCAGTTTACACCAGACAAAGGACTAGACACTTACTACGTTTGGGTTCAGTCAAAGTAACCAGTGTGTTTATAAGTTTGTAGACACTAATCTTAACTCATTTTGTCGAGTCTTTCGTTCCCCGAACACGTTTCACACATGATTTATAACTACAGTTGGCATTTAGATTTGGGATTTAGATTGGGATGTTTATCATCGAAAAATCAACTTAAAATCCATTTAGACATTACACACAAGAGTGAATAAAGGATGAGTATGGGTTATGGGACCATTCGAAGTAACCCAATTTCTCAATTGTAAGACTGGTCAGTATAAAGCCCATGATACTAGATAGCTGGAGGCAATCGGCCACAGGAAGCCATACTTTGACCTAGGTTTCGTGCTAGTTGACACTCAACAGTCAGCAAGGCGTATCTGCAACCTTGAAGGAACTCATGTCCCCCCCACCTGAGATTCGAACCCGCATCACCCAGTGAGTGCTACAGTCAGAGACGTTAGCACTGAGCTATTCAGGCTTGCGACTGACCTCCTGTAGGACTGTAGCGGGTACTTTGATTGGACACTAGTAACTAGTGTGGCGTGTCTAGCCTTTACGTCATGGCAAGCTACCTAGAATGGTGGCCACATTGCAAACCTGACTGATAGAATTCAGTCTACACCAAAGGTGTGGTGAGAGCTGGCTGCTAGACGAATTTGGTAGACAGTAATTGACGTCAAAGTTTATGTCCCCAATATTGGTGGTGAGAAAATGAGAACAAAGGCTTTGCGTAGGCGGATACAGTTAGCATATGGATGATCTGACACAGCCACAAAGAGATGCAAGGTTAACTTTCTGTGAGAAACAACCAATCAAAAGACTGTATTTTCTACTAACAATAATCTACAATAATGTACATTAAAATCTATAAATATGTGTTGATTTTCCTTAATAAACGATCTGTTGCCTGACCCTTGTCTTCTGTTGTTACAAAGGAAGGACTAGACACGTCACACTAGTTACTAGTGTCCAATCAAATAAAGCCCATAGTTTGAAATCTTTGGGGATTTAGATTTTTAGTTAATTTTCACTCATCCTTGTGTTCCTTCGCAACAATCTAACAAATTACATGTTTCAAGTTTGACTACAGATATATCAGGAAGTACTGAGAGTCGGTTTCGTCCTAATATGGGGCTCTTCATCACTGCTCTCCCATGACTCCATCACCAAGGATAAAACCTTGGACCTTCAGGATACGAGATCAAGCTGGCTGACCATTCAGCCGCATGGATTGCGAATTCAATGAATTCCCTGGTTCGTGATGAAAATCAAACCACTGAAATTAATCTGAAATTCACACAAATCCTATAACACCTGAATATCAACTACCGGCTCACTGATAGTTACTGAATAAACGATCATCTTGAAGCTGCGATGGAAGTTGAGTTGGGCAGTTGAGTCCACCAAGTTAAAAAGAATTGCATGCTCATCAAAGACAATAGTAAGGGAAGTGCTATATCACTAAATGACATCCAGCACATCTTGCTGAATGGTCAATAAGCTTCGTCTTGTATCCTGAACGTTCAGGGTTGTCTTTTCTGATTATAGCTTGATTCCACACCGTATTTTTGGTACAAGTATGGAATTTTCAGCATGTGATATCGGTAGCCCAAATTTTGCATGCCGACCAATTGATATCAGGTGTGCATCGGCAGGGGATCAAACCCCGGGCCATCTGCATAGTCGGCGAGCGTCGTAACCGCTGCGCCACCAACGCACTGTGGTGAAGTCGTGGGTGTGCACTGTGAAGAGTCCAAAGCTAGGACGAAACAGTTGTTCAGTACTCCCTGGTGGTTTCCAATGCTGTCTGTCTCTCTCACTCTCTCTAACTTATATTGGTTCTTGAGTAAGATTTAACAATTGAAATTGACTCAAAATCCCCACAAATTTTATAATCTGAATAAACCATTAGTCATTGATTGGATGGATGGTTTTTGGTTGGTCTACTGATTTCAGGAACTGGGCCCCGATTTCAAGCTAAAAGTGAGTCGTTGGTGAATAGTATTGAAGAAAACAAGAAATGTTAATGTAGACAGTTAGTTGTTTGTTCTGAACTTTCAATGTATGTTCATTAATAGATCCAATTATAGGATCATAATTACTATAATTTATTTTCTATAGTTTGGTTTGTAAGGGTCAGTTGTGTTTTTACGAGATGATCACGGATTGATATCAGTTAGAGAACTGGACAGCTGTTTTATCAGCCTAGTTCGGTAATCATTGGCAGTACGCATCCACTGGGATAGAGTTTCCTGGAGTTCTAGTGAGAAGTCGTGACCAATGAGGTCCATCCAGATGTCACGTGTGAGGATGGATGTCCCACCAACGACAATGGTTGGGGTCGCGCTAAATGACGAATTGGTAGAAGTTAGAATTCATGAACTGGCTGGCCATAGAGGAGTCGGGTCTCAGTGGTGGCTGAATGGTATACGAGCTTGCCTTGTAACCAGAAGGTCTTGGGTCCGAACCCCAGTAGATGCGTACTTCCAATCAAACAGCTGTTCAATACTCCCTGGTTTTCAATGGTATTCTGGCTGATATCAATCCGTGATCAACTCGTATAATTTTCTTGTTTTAATGCAGTAAACAATGTGTGAATTGTATTCATATTTTATATTTACTGTTTTAAAATTTTTCCCTAGCGTTTACTCTATCAATATGGTTATATGGATGATCTGCCGCTGCCGCAAAGTGGTAATCCTATATCAATAGAAAATATCCCGCACAAATCAATTTTCACTTATCCAGACAAAATATCTTTAATGCATCCTCCAAAAGAATTTACTAATGCTATAAAAAAATTTCAAAAACAATATCATCTACCTGTAACAGGTGAATTAGACAAACAAACACGTAATTTATTAATATCACCACGTTGTGGTAATCCAGACAGACAAATCAATATGAAAGAGAAGAATTCCTGGCATTCATCAGCATCACCGCCAACATCACAGTCAACATCACAGTCAAGTGGAATATTTGACAGTACATTCCATTCATACAGTAATCATTCCAAAACTATCGGAAATATGAATGCTGAACAAGGCAGACTACTGAATCGAAAGAAACGCTATCTAATTGGTGATGAGAAAATGAAATGGACAAAGAAGCAGTTAACATGGCAGTGTGTGAAATTTGTTTTACTAGTAACATAGTGTTATTATTATTATTTTCTATAGTTTGGTTTGTAAGGGTTAGTTTTGTTTTTACGAGTTTATCACGGATTGATTGATATCAGTTAGAGAACAACTGAAAACAACCAGCTGTTTCATCAGCGTAGTTTGGGAATCATCGGAAGTACGCACCCACTGACAGGGTTCGAACTCAGGACCTTCCGGTTACAAAGCAGGCTCGTATTATTATTATTATATTTCCTCCTCCCTTTGGTCTGTGAAGTTTCAGTAGTCATGATGGCTTTTTTACGCAGTAGGGTCACTGGTGTCATGCCTAACTTTCTTTTTTTTTACCTCAAGCTGTCTACAGGCCAGCAAACTAGACGAGATTTAAAAGTGATTCACCGGGAATCAAATCCAGACTTCATGTGTGCTGGATAAACATTCTATCAGCGAATCATTGATGTTACTTAATATTATTTTAATTGAATTTTAGATTTTTCCGTCGATTGATCGACCTGAAGTGCTCGGTCTCAGGTTGATTTGTTGGCTTCTTATGCAGATGTTTCGACGATGTATGGGCAGGTAATTCGATGTTAATTGGTGGATGGTGACTAGCAGTGGAATATACCAGGATAAAGCGCATTTCGTCCTATCGGGGACCCGTCCGCCAACTGGATGTACCTGCACTCCCCAGTGAGTGGTGATGTTCCCACTGCCAGTCACTATCCACCAGTTAACTTTTAATTACATGCCTAGAAATCGTCGAAACATCTGCATAAGAAGCCGAAAAATCAACCTGAGACCGAGCACTTCGGTGCAATCAATCGACGGGAAAATCTAAAATTCAATTAAATAATCAATATGACCCGTTGCACAAGAGGTGGCCAGTTCTCGTGTCCCAAGTGGTCTAGTGGATAGCAATTAGGCGTTTGAAACTCGGTGGGAACATCATCACTCACTGGGAAATGCAGGTACATCCAGATGACGAGTCCCAAATAGGCTGAAACGCGCGTTATTCTGGATTCCACTGCTAGTCACCATCCACAAATTATTTAATATTACTTTATATGGTAATTCTACACATTACAGACCCGAACAGAGTCCTCACGTAAACGGACATAATGACTTCAGTCAGTCAATCAGATGAGCCTATACTAAAAACGCAGATATATATAGTTGTAGTACAACATGAAGGCTCGGCCTACTCCTTAAAACTTGGACTACCGAAAACAACCTTCATCAATATATATTGCATATAATTTTGCTGGATGAATTTATGTACTGAAATAGGCTTGGATTATTATTATCACTGAAGATTCGAATAAGGAATAAGGAGTTTTTCTTGAGACACGTACGAGGAAACTACCCTATAAAACTAACAGTTTTTTAACACTTCCTTTGATGTGTATAGAACAATTTTTTTAAATTATGCGTATTTTCTACGGGCTAATTTGATTAGTTGATCAAGATCATTGCGTTCGATTGCTTGACTCCTTCGTTTGAGTCACCAGTGTTTAGAGTTTCTCTTTATATTAACAATCTGATCCAGTTTAATTCCTTTTGTTTAATGAAGTCATTGAATTATTATTGTTTCCTTTAGTTCCTAGAGGAATATAGGGCTTCAGCCGCACGTCTCCATTCCGTTCGGTTCCCTGTCAGCCTTTTCACCTGGTTCCACGTCTACCCACATTCTTTCATCTCCTTTTCATACGACCTCCTCCATGTCACCCTCTCATTGACGACCAACTCACCACTTCCCTTCCCTGTCCCACTCGACAGAGAGCTTGTCGTGTGATGTAACTTGATGGTTTACTTTTACTCAGAGTATGGCTAATCCATTTCCATTTCTTCCTGCTTGCATATTTATTGCACAATTGGTTCCTGCTGGGTTGGTTCACTCACAGAGATCCCTGTTGCTGATCTTTTCTGGCCGGCCATTTGATCTTGATTATTGAGCGAAGACGGCTGTTGATGGAGGTCTGTAGTTTGTTCGAAGTGCCCTTCGTGACGCGGCACCAAGTCTCTGATCCGTATAGTAGCACTGACTTCACATTGGAGTTGAAAATCCAAATCTTATTTTCATTTTCATGCTGAGTGTTGTTGACCTCCCCACAGACTTGGTGAGAGTAATGAAAGCTAAGCTTGCTTTTGTGATCCTCGCTTTGATATCCTCGTCAGTTTCGTCGGCCTGTAGTTGAAACGATGCTTCCCACGTAGGGTAGGTAAAGGAGGTTGCTTCTTTCAGGTTCCTCCCATTTATGCTGATCGTTGTCTGTTGTTGTTGCTGCTGCTGTTGGCCGGGAACCTTTATCACCACATCTGTTTTCTCTATGTTCACCTGAAGTCCTATCTTTGATGCCTCTTCTGCCAACTTGTTGCTTTTCACTTTCACATCTTCCAGTTGGTGGGAAATCAGACATATATCATCGGCGAAATCCAGATCGTCCAAGTTTTTTGTGTGGGTCCATTTTATGCTTGCTTTCTCACTGCCCGCCGCTGTCTGTCGCATTATCCAGTCCGCCACAATCAGAAAAATCATTGGAGATAGCAGGCAGCCAGCCAGTCAGCCTAGTCTTACTCCCGTCTTCACTTCGAAGGATTCCGTGAGTTTTTCGTTGTGGATTACTTGGCATGCAGCATTGTCGTTCAACTGTTGGATGAGGTGTATAAATGTTGGCGGAACCCCGTAGTAGCGAAATAGTTTCCAAATCACCCCTTGATCGGAGCTGTCAAAGGCCTTTTCAAAGTCAATAAAGTTGAGGTAGAGAGCTGACTGACTGCCATTTCAAGCTGTTTTCAATAATGATCAGTACTGTTGCGATTTGATCAATGCATGGTTTGTTCTTCCTGAATCCAGCCTGTTCCGGTCAGTCATTGAATACCGGGTACATATTTAAATTATCTTATTGAGTAGTATACGCCTAACTGGTCAATACACTATACAAAATTGATAGTTAGTTTGATTTCAGTGCGTCAGTGGTTCAGTTGAATAATGCTCACCAACCATGCATGCGGTATAGGGTTCGATTCTCCGGCCAGTGCAAAACTTTACCTCCCTTAGCCAGTTCTAAATCTAGCAAAGAGAGAAGGTTGGGCTTGAGGACAGCAACTCCCCACACATACAGATCACTGCTGCTGAAACTTAAAGTGGAAGCTTAAAGCCCTATGTTCCACTTGGAACGCGAAAGGAATTCAAAAAGTTTGGTTTGAAATGATTTTCTTAAGAAGCATTAAAAAAATCAATTTATACGTTTAAATACATCAAACTACAAAGCAAGATTCAGCCTTAGTAACTTTAGATTTTCGGGAATACTTAATAGAACTTTCGGAACTATTCATCCATGAATACTAACAAAACTTGTTTAAGGATTCACAGCGTCAATATTCCTATGTATTTTATAAAACAAATTAGTTTATATAAATTCAATGGCAAAAATAAACATTTATTTAGTATTTTCATGAGTTGGTTTGTAAGGATTTGATTTGATTTTACGAGTTTGACCACGGATTGATTGATATCAGTTAGAGAACCACTCCGAAACCATCAGCTGGGAGGACTTGACAGCTGTTTCGTCCTCTTAGTTCGGGAATCAGCGGCAGTATGCAGCAACTGCCAGGCTTTGAACCCAAGACCTTCCCGATACAAGGCAAGCTCGTATACCATTCAGCCACTGGGACTCAACTCCTTAATGGTCAGCCAGAACATGAATTCAAACTCCTGTTAATTCGTGATGAGTGTAGCGCGACCACCGACCATTGTCATCGGTGGGAACTACATCCTCACTCTTGACTGGGTGGACCTCACTGGTCATGACTTCTCACTAGAACTCCATGAAGCTCCGTCCTGTAGCAAGTCAGCATCGAGCTTGCCTTGTAACCAAAAGGCCATGGGTTCGAACCCTGGCAGTGGGTGCGTATTGCCGATGATTCCGAAACTATGACGGAGGAAACAGCTGTCCGGTAATCCCTGGTTTTCAATTTATTTAGTAGTTACACGTTCTAATTAGTTTTAGATATCACCTGTAAATTCTTGCATCACACCCTGTGATTTAAAACATGTCACGTTTTTCTCAGTCCTTGTCGAATCTACGAGTCACGAACTTTTACAAATGGAAACGATAAATGCTAATGCGTTTACATTAGTCTTCTCTTCAGTCACATGCTCATTTGAAAAAAATACATGAAATTCCTGAAAATCCAGATAAAAGTCGTCACCAGTCTGTCAAGTTAGTTCGAAAGAATTTCCAAGAGTAGGGATTTGATCTGTTTCAATTTTTAATCATGGATTGGTGTCAGTTCTAAAACCAGTGAAAACCAACAGGAAGTACTGGATGGCTGTTTCATCCCAGTTTTAGACTCATCAGAAGTAGGAACCTACTGAGGTTTTAACCGAGAGCCTTCCAGTCACAAGGAAAACTCTTAGATCATTCAGTCACTGGTATCCAGTTGATGATTTTAGCGCGAGATAATATCATCAACGACGAGTATTTGTCCACACACCCAACAGGATGGACCCCACTGGTCAAGATTTCTCGCCGGGTTCGAACCCCAGTGGCGGTGGGTGCAAACTGATGAAGAGTCCCAAACTAGGACGGAGGAAACAGCTGGCTGTCCAGTACTCCCAGGTGGTGGTTGTCCAATGTTTCTCTAACTGATTTCAGCTCATAATGATGAAATCCTCAGACCAATGCAACAAAAAATCCCTACAAAAACCAGTACTCTGATATTTTATTTTAATTTCAATTAATTACCCTGAAGAAGTTCGAACCAGTTTGCCAAAAGGAGCAAACATTGAAATTCCTCATTTTAAATTTCGCTGAGATTTTTACAAATATAATTTTTTATAAACAATATTTTGGTTTATCACAAAAACAATTTTTTTTGTAGTTATATTGCGGTATACAAACAAAGTGCCATTTTCATTCGACCGAACTTTATTATCATTATCATTATTGTTGTTATTGTTATGTAATGTGGTCTTGTAATCGATATGGAATTCGCATTATTC